GCCCCTCCCACTATCTCACTAGCCCCACCCACTCTCTCACTAGCCCCACCCACTCTCTCACTAGCCCCACCCACTCTCTCACTAGCCCCTCCCACTCTCTCACTAGCCCCTCCCACTCTCACTAGCCCCACCCACTCACTCACTAGCCCCACCCACTCTCTCACTAGCCCCACTCACTAGCCCCTCCCACTCTCTCACTAGCCCCTCCCACTCACTCACTAGCCCCTCCCACTCTCTCACTAGCCCCACCCACTCTCTCACTAGCCCCACCCACTCTCACTAGCCCCTCCCACTCTCTCACTAGCCCCTCCCACTCACTCACTAGCCCCTCCCACTCTCTCACTAGCCCCTCCCACTCTCTCACTAGCCCCTCCCACTATCTCACTAGCCCCTCCCACTCACTCACTAGCCCCTCCCACTCACTCACTAGCCCCTCCCACTCTCTCACTAGCCCCGCCCACTCTCTCTCTCTAGCCCCTCCCACTCACTCACTAGCCCCTCCCACTCACTCACTAGCCCCTCCCACTCTCTCACTAGCCCCGCCCACTCTCTCTCTAGCCCCTCCCACTCTCTCACTAGCCCCTCCCACTCACTCACTAGCCCCTCCCACTCTCTCACTAGCCCCTCCCACTCTCTCACTAGCCCCACCCACTCTCTCACTAGCCCCACCCACTCTCTCACTAGCCCCTCCCACTATCTCACTAGCCCCACCCACTCTCTCACTAGCCCCACCCACTCTCTCTCTCGCCCCACCCACTCTCACTAGCCCCACCCACTCTCTCACTAGCCCCTCCCACTATCTCACTAGCCCCACCCACTCTCTCACTAGCCCCACCCACTTTCTCACTAGCCCCACCCACTCTCTCACTAGCCCCTCCCACTCTCTCACTAGCCCCACCCACTCTCACTAGCCCCACCCACTCACTAGCCCCACTCACTAGCCCCTCCCACTCTCTCACTAGCCCCCCCCACTCTCTCACTAGCCCCACCCACTCTCACTAGCCCCACCCACTCTCTCACTAGCCCCTCCCACTATCTCACTAGCCCCACCCACTCTCTCACTAGCCCCACCCACTCTCTCACTAGCCCCACCCACTCTCTCACTAGCCCCTCCCACTCTCTCACTAGCCCCTCCCACTCTCACTAGCCCCACCCACTCACTCACTAGCCCCACCCACTCTCTCACTAGCCCCACTCACTAGCCCCTCCCACTCTCTCACTAGCCCCTCCCACTCACTCACTAGCCCCTCCCACTCTCTCACTAGCCCCACCCACTCTCTCACTAGCCCCACCCACTCTCACTAGCCCCTCCCACTCTCTCACTAGCCCCTCCCACTCACTCACTAGCCCCTCCCACTCTCTCACTAGCCCCTCCCACTCTCTCACTAGCCCCTCCCACTATCTCACTAGCCCCTCCCACTCACTCACTAGCCCCTCCCACTCACTCACTAGCCCCTCCCACTCTCTCACTAGCCCCGCCCCCTCTCTCTCTCTAGCCCCTCCCACTCACTCACTAGCCCCTCCCACTCACTCACTAGCCCCTCCCACTCTCTCACTAGCCCCGCCCACTCTCTCTCTAGCCCCTCCCACTCTCTCACTAGCCCCTCCCACTCACTCACTAGCCCCTCCCACTCTCTCACTAGCCCCTCCCACTCTCTCACTAGCCCCATCCACTCTCTCACTAGCCCCACCCACTCTCTCACTAGCCCCTCCCACTATCTCACTAGCCCCACCCACTCTCTCACTAGCCCCACCCTCTCTCTCACTCGCCCCACCCACTCTCACTAGCCCCACCCACTCTCTCACTAGCCCCTCCCACTATCTCACTAGCCCCACCCACTCTCTCACTAGCCCCACCCACTCTCTCACTAGCCCCACCCACTCTCTCACTAGCCCCTCCCACTCTCTCACTAGCCCCACCCACTCTCACTAGCCCCACCCACTCACTAGCCCCACTCACTAGCCCCTCCCACTCACTAGCCCCTCCCACTGCCCATAGAAGCAGTTCAGCACGAGGTCAGAACCCGTGACCACCGGGACGCCGGCTCTATGAACTCAGCGGTGCTCTCTCCAAAGGGTTCACACTGGGACATTGAGTGAGCTCTGTGCCTGCCGAGCCTTGGACCACAGCCACCACCACCACGCCCAGCCACCACCACCACCACACCCAGCCACCACCACCACGCCCAGCCACCACCACCACACCCAAACACCACCACCTAGCTGACACCAGCCAGCCACCGCTACCACGCCACCATCACTCAGCCACCAACCACTCAGCTACTGCCACCCAACCACCACTCTCAAAGCCACCGTCCACCGCCAATACGACCACCACCACCACCACAACCACCACGCGCGGATGGTGGTGGTGGCGTGGGCTGAGTGTTGACACTGGCAAGAGGGGAGCTCTCTCGCGCTCCCCGCCCCGGGGCAGGGAGGCGCCGTGAAGGTCGCAGCCAGTGTTCGGCAGCAGGAGGAGGAGGGAGACGGCCACTCCTCCTCCACCACCTCCTACTCCACCCTGCGTGGGATGTTCACGCTGCTGCTGCTGCTACACTCGCTCCGTCTGTCCGTCCGTGTCCGCCTCGTCCGTCGTGCCGTGGTAGCGCTCAGCTACGCTGCGCTACGAACCCGGCGACTCGGAGATCGATCCCCCCGCTCACGGCCAACACCCGCTGACGATTCACTGAACCGGTCCCGGGCCTCCTCTAGGTCGACTCGGCCTCAAATGAGTACCCGGTGCGACGTGTAAACATCGACACTTTGGGAGAGACAAAGGCGGCCGGGCGTGGTGCTGGCCACCCACCCGCTATGCGTGCCGTGCCGGCCTTCATAGGTGCTGCTCGCTAACGGCACTTGCCCCTACAGTCTGTTAAGGCTACACGGGGGATTTTTCGATTTAAAGCTTTCGTGACTGCAGGGATTCATCTTCTTGGTTCTTTCGGTAAAGTCACGTAGAATGGAAATAATAAAATAATAATAATAAAACAATAAAATAATTCTCACGACGTTTCGGCCACAACGCAAGCAGCCGTCCTCAGGGGATCTTTGTTTTTGTGTCTGCCCATGGGGGGGGGGGGTGGGTCATGGTAGATCGGGGGGAGGCGATCCGGAATGCAGGGAGCTCGAGGCACAGCCCTGCACGGCAGTGGCCAGGTGTGAAAGCCGGGCCGAGGTCATTCCGAAGCCCGTTCTGTTCGCACTTGCACCAGGCGAGAGAGAGAACTCCAGAGAGGCCCGGCCGAGTTCTCGTTCACTCCAAAGAGCGACCACGGGGTCACCGACATGATGATGGACAGCAATGAAGCAAATAGCAAGTTCGATGACAAGAACAACAAAAACAACAAAAACAACCAAAACAACAAAAACAACCAAAACAAAAACAACAAAAAGCAAAACAACAAAAACAACCAAAACAACAAAAACAACTAAAACAACCAAAACAACAAAAACAACCAAAACAATCAAAACAACAAAAACAACAAAAACAATCGCTGCTTGTTCACATCAGAAAATGTAAAAAAAAATATTTTTTAAATAATTTCACAAACGTGAATAATCGGTGTTCGACATATATAAATGAACCCCGCGGGGTCGTTCGTGCGGCTCGACCGCGTGCTGTTGACGCCGCTCGTGTGGGGGGGGGGGGCTGCTGCTGCTCGACGACGATGGGACGGCAACGAACATCGTCTCCAAATGCATTCTACACAGCAGCGGGTAGAGCCACGGCTGATGATGATGGTGGCGATGATGATGATGGTGGTGATGATGGTGGTGGTGGTGATGATGGTGCTGATGAGGATGATGACGATGCCATCACCCAGCAGTGGATAGACCCACGGCTGATGATGGTGGTGGTGATGATGGTGGTGGTGGTGATGATGATGATGATGGTGGCGATGATGATGATGATGACGATGCCATCACCCAGCAGTGGATAGACCCACGGCTGATGATGATGATGGTGGTGATGGTGGTGGTGGTGATGATGGTTGTGGTGGTGGTGGTGATGATGGTTGTGGTGGTGGTGATAATGGTTGTGGTGGTGGTGATGATGATGATGATGGTGGTGGTGATGATGATGATGGTGGTAGTGATGGTGGTGGTGGTTGTGGTGGTGGTGGTGATGATGATGGTTGTGGTGGTGGTGATGGTGATGATGGTTGTGGTGGTGGTGATGATGGTTGTGGTGGTGATGATGATGATGGTGGTGGTGATGATGATGATGGTGGTGGTGGTGGTGATGATGATGGTGGTGGTGGTGGTGATGATGATGGTGGTGGTGGTGATGATGATGATGATGGTGGTGGTGGTGGTTGTGGTGGTGGTGGTGATGATGGTTGTGGTGTGATGATGGTTGTGGTGGTGGTGATGATGGTGGTGGTGATGGTGATGATGGTGTTGGTGATGATGATGATGGTGGTGGTGATGGTGGTGGTGATGATGATGGTGTGGTGGTGATGATGGTGGTGGTGGTAGTGGTGGTGGTGATGATGATGGTGGTGGTGATGATGGTGGTGATGATGATGATGGTGGTGATGATGATGATGGTGGTGGTGATGATGATGGTGGTGGTTGTGGTAGTGATGATGGTTGTGGTGGTGGTTGTGGTGGTGGTGATGATGATGGTGGTGGTGGTTGTGGTGGTGGTGGTGATGATGGTTGTGGTGGTGATGATGGTTGTGGTGGTGGTGGTTGTGGTGGGTGGTGGTTGTGGTGATGTTGTTGATGATGGTGGTGATGGTGGTGGTTGTGGTGGTGGTGTTGTTGATGGTGGTGGTGGTGATGCTTGTGATGATGATGATGGTGATGATGGTTGTGGTGGTGGTTGTGGTGGTGCTTGTGGTGATGTTGCTGATGGTGGTGGCGTTGCTGGCGCCACGTGGCCAGCCAAGTCCCTTTAAACAAACCACGTGGGCCCGGCTCCACAATCCGCAGCGCGCATAGGCGGCGCGGGGTGCGCTTGTGCAGTAGGGAATTGAGCGGCAGTAGCAGCAGCAGTGAGTGGGAGATCGGAGCAGCGGATTTGGGGAAGACGCCGGGAAGCAGAGGAGGAGGGCAGTCGACTCGGGGCAGCCGGGAGCCGTGCCCCCCCCCCCCCTTTGTGGCCCCCCCTGTGCCCTCACCCACATGGGAAGCTACTCGCAAGGCGAAGCAGCAGGTACCCAGCGCGTTAGGGAGGGGTCCGTGGCGACTGGGGCCTCCTGGTGGTGGTGATGTAGAGGCGTGGGTGGTGGTGGTGTAGAGGAGTGGTGGTGGTGGTGATGTAGAGAGGCGTGGGTGGTGGTGGTGGTGATGTAGAGGAGTGGTGGTGTAGAGAGGCGTGGGTGGGTAGTGGTGATGTAGATAGGCGTGGGTGGTGGTGGTGATGTAGGGAGGAGTGGTGGCATGGGTAGTGGTGCTGGTGCTGATGTAGAGAGGGGTGGTGGTGGGTGGGTGGTGGTGGTGAGGTAGAGAGGTGTGGGTGAGTGGTGGTGGTGATGTAGGGAGGAGTGGTGGCATGGGTAGTGGTGCTGGTGCTGATGTAGAGAGGGGTGGTGGTGGGTGGGTGGTGGTGGTGAGGTAGAGAGGTGTGGGTGAGTGGTGGTGGTGATGTAGGGAGGCGTGGTGGCATGGGTAGTGGTGGTGGTGCTGATGTCAAGGGGTGGTGGTGGGTGGGTGGTGCTGATGTAGATAGGTGGTGATGTAGAGAGAGGGGTGTTGGTGGGTGGTGGTGATGTAGAGAGGGGTGGTGGTGGTGATGTAGAGAGGGGTGGTGGTGGTGATGTAGAGAGAGGGGTGGTGGTGGTGGTGTAGAGAGGGGTGGCAGGGTGGTGGTGATGTAGAGAGGGGTGGTGGCGTGGGGGCTGGTGGTGGTGATGTAGAGAGGGGTGGTGGTGGTGGAGGTGGTGATGATCCTGGTGTGAGTGGTGCGGGGATGATGTCGCCGATGCTGCTTAGAGGGTTGGCAGCTTAATGGTGCGGCTTGGTGGTGGTGGTGGTGGCGGTGATTGTGGTTGTGGTGGTGATTGTGGTGGTGGTGGCGGTGATTCTGCTGATGGTGCTGGTGGTGATTGGACCTTGGTTGATTCGGGGGGGGGGGGCCCTAGTGGGGGGCACTCCTCTGTGTAGGTGGGGGGGGGCACTGCTGATGGTGCTATTGGGAGCGATGGTGGCGACACTGCTGGTAGTGATGCTGGCTGTGCTTGCTGTGTGCTCAATTCGCTGAGTTATCACACACGTGTCACACACGTGTCACACACGTGTCACACACGTGTCACACACGTGTCACACACGTGTCACACACACGCGTGTCACACACACACGTGTCACACACACTTGTCACACACGCGCACGTGTCACACACACACACACGTGTCACACACACGTGTCACACACACACGTGTCACGTGTCACATACAGGTGTCACACACACACACACGTGTTACACACACACACACGTGTCACACACACACGTGTTACACACACACACACACGTGTTACACACACACACACGTGTCACACACACGTGTTACACACACACACACACACACGAGTTACACACACACACGTGTTACACACGTGACGCACACGTGGCACACACACATACAGGTGTTACACACACGTGTCACGCACACATCCCCCGTGTAGCCCCCCCCCCACACACGCTGTTGCACTAAGTGCTGTCAGTGAGTAGGGGGGTGCTGTACGCACACAACGCTCGGTCGCCTTTGTCTCCCCAGTGGCGAAGTTTTACTCACCGCACCAGGTCCTGATTTAAGGCCCAGTCGACCTAGGGGACGCCCATTACAAATTATGAATATCGCTCGCCGCTGACGTTCGGCATGGCCAGGAATCGAACGCGGGTCGCCGGGTTCGTAGTGCAGTGTGCTAACCACTGCGCCACCGCTCCCCATAAGCGGATGCGTGGTTGTGTGTTTAGGGATTGAGCGTTCGGTGCTGCAACGACCAAATAACAGTGGCGAACATTTGAACTGGTGCCGGACCTCCGCTACGTCGACTCAGCCTTAAACAAAAAGTACCTGCTCGAGTGTTTAAACGTGAGGACAGTGGGGATACGAAGCTGAGCCGGGCGTGGTGCTGGCCACATCACCCCCCACCAAGTCCGGCGTTCCGGCTCGCTACCACTTGTTCAAGGCTGCACGGGGTTAAGTGTTTGGATTAATTCCGGAGGAACCATTCACCTACACACTGGCTGAATTATGCATCCCCTCACTCACCCGCCCACCTACTCACTCACTCACTCACCCACTCACTCATCCACTCAATCACCCACTCTCACACTCATTCACTCATCCACTCACTCTCACACTCATTCACTCATCCACCCACTCACTCACCCACCCATCCACCCAATCACCCACCCACCCACTCACCCACCCACCCACGCACTCACCCACCCACACACTCATCCACTCACCCACCCACCCACACACTCACTCATTCACCCACTCACTCACCCACCCACTCACTCACTCACTCACCCACCCACCCACCCACTCACCCACCCACCCAATCACCCACCCACCCACTCACCCACCCACTCACTCACCTACCTACGCACTCACCCACCCACACACTCACCCACCCACCCACCCACTCACTTACCCACCCACACACTCACCCACCTACCCACTCACCCACTCACCCACCCACTCACCCACTCACCCACCCACTCACCCACCCACTCACCCCACCACACCACCCCCACCCATTCACCCACTCACTCCACCCACCCACTCACTCACCCACCAACTCACTCACCCACCCACTCACTCACCCACTCACCCACCAACTCCTACTCACCCACCCACCCCACTCACCCACCCCACACTCACTCACTCACCCACCCACCCACCCACCCACTCACCCACCTACCCACTCACCCACCCACCCACTCACCCACCCACCCACTCACCCA